TCATTAAGAATCTCACTCATTTTCTCTGACTCCTCGCATAACTTCCCTCCTTTATCCTTGAGTGGGCCAACCCTTTCTCTAGTTACCCTCTTGCTCCTTTATGTATGAATAAAAGGCTTTGGGATTTTCCTTAACCCTGTTTGCTAAAGATATTTCATGACCCCTTTTAGCCCTCTTAATTCCTCATTTCAGATTGGTCCTACTTTCCCGATATTCTTCCAAAGCTTCATCTGTTTTCAGTGGCCTAGACCTTATGTATGCTTCCTTTTTCCTCTATGCTAGTCTCTCAATTTCACCTGTCATCCATTTATCCCTAATCTTGCCCTTTCTATCCCTCATTTTCACAGGTTCATGTCTGTCCTGCACTCTAATCAACCTCTCTTTAAAAGCATCCCACATATCAAATGTGGATTTACCCTCAAACAGCTGCTCCCAATCCACATTCCCCAGCTCCTGCTGAATTTTGCTAGAGTTTGCCTTCCCCCAATTCAGCACTCTTTCTTTAGCACCACTCTCGTCTTTGTCCATCAGTATTCTAAAACTTACGGAATTGTGATCACTATTCCCAAAGTAATCCCCTACTGAAACTTCAAGCACCTGGCTGGGCTCATTCCCCAACACCAGGTCCAGTATGGCCCCTTCTCGAGTTGGCCTATTTTTGGACCATTGAACTGTAGCCTAAGCAGGACTGCCATTCATCCATCACTTTAGTACAACAGCTTCATTGAAGTTATAGGGGGAGTGTTAACATGGAGACACACATGAGCTTGGTTATGGGTGGGGCAGTGAATTTACAAGCACATGATTTCTGGGGTGTACTCCAGCTAAGTGTTAGGCCACATGCATTAAACATCCTCTGGAGAGAGGATTGTCAATCAACATTTATTACTCGCACCGTTAGATGGATAACAATATTAATTAATAACTTCAATTCATTTCCTGAAACTCACCAAATGAAAGCTACGCAACATCACAGTAGCATGCAAGGTGAAAGAGTTGGAAAAGATGTGTATCAACCCCCAGGAAATATAAAAACATAAGAAATAGGAGCAGGAGTAGACCTTCAGCCCCTCATTCTGCTGCCCTATTCAAAAAAGGTCAGGGCTGACATGTCTCAGCCCTCAACTCCTCTTTACTGCCAATTCAGTACAGCAGTCACCTCCCTAATATTCCTCAAATCTACTTCCTTCTCTTTATATCCTTTCACTGATCCAATTCTCTAAGGTAGAACATTCCAGACATTCACTGTCCTCTAGAAGAAATTCTTTCACATTTCAGTTTTAAATGTAAGTCCCTCATTTAACCATTATCCATAGTTTAAGATTCCCCACCCCTCATTCTTCTAAATGAATGTAATGAATAAAGGCCTATATCACCCCCTGGATCATGGAATCAGCCTAGGGAATCTGATCTGGACATCACCAAATGCCAGTATATACATTTTTTTAAATAAAGGGTCAAAAACTGTAAAAAGCACTCCAGGTACAGCTTCACCTACACCCTGTACAGTCGTGACAAGACTTCCCTGTTTTTAAACTCCTCCAACTTCCCAGCAATAAAGGCCAAAATTCTATTTGCCTTCTTAATTATTTGCTGCACCCATGTCCTAACTTTGTCTTTCATGCACATGACCATCAAGATCCCACTGCGCCACAGTTATTTGGAGTGTCTCTCTGTTCAATTTTGAGTCTCCGTACCAAGGTGCATGACTCACTTATCTACATTAAACTCCATCTGCTACATCATTGCTCACCCGCTCAACCTATCCCTACACCCTTGTATATTCCTTATATTTTAATCATAACATGCCTTCCTATCTATTCTGTATTATCAGCACATTTGGATAGATTGCATCTCCTCCAAGTCATTAATATAGTTAGTAACTAATTGAGGCTGTAGGGCTGATCTTTGTGGAACTGTACTAGTTTCATCTTCCAACCTGAAAAAGACCTATTGATCCCAATTCTCTCTACTGTGTTATCCCTCACTCCATGCTGATACATTAGCCCCAATATTGTGAGCTCCTATCTAATGCAGTCATCTTTTATGCGGCAGCTTATTGAATGCCTTCTGAAAATTCAAACCTTTATCAATTCTGCTTGTTATATCCTCAAAGAACTCTAGCAAATTTATCAAACATGATTTCTGGTTCACAAATCCATGTTGACTTTTTGATTGTATTAAGCTTTTCTAAATGTTCCACCATTTCTTTCTTTAATAACGTACACCAACAACATTTTCCCGATAGCAGATGTTAGGCTAACTGGCCTAATCTTTCTTGCTTTCTGTCTCCTCCCCTTCCAGTCTGCTGGGCCCTCCCAGAATCCAGTAAATTCTGAAATATTTCGAACAATGCCTTCACTGTCTCTGCAGCTGCTTTCTTTAAAACTCTTAGATACAGGTTCTTAGATCCTAGTGACGTTTCTGCCTTTAGTTTCAGTGGTTTGCCAAATACTTTGTTCCTCATGATATTACAAGACCTTTCCTCCCATCAGCATCTTGCTTATCTTTGGGATATTCACCACAAAGAATGATGCAAAAAATTGGTTTAAGCTATCTGCCATTTCCCTTTTCCTTGTTATCAATTCCCTAGTTACATTCTCCAAGTGTCCCACACTTGCGTTAGTTATCCTCCTTTTTTATATAATGTAGAAGCTCTTGGTGTTTGCTTTTATATTTATTACCAATTTGCTTCATAATCAATTACTCCCTCTGTCAGATTTTTAGCTGCTGGTTCCTAAAGAAATCCCAATTCTCTGACCTATCACTAGTTTTCAAGACTTTGCATGCCTTAGGTTTTGATTGGACACCCTCCTTTCCTGCCTTTGTTAACTACAAGCAGTTTATTTTTCGCATTGAATCATCTTTTCTAAATATAAAATTTTTGTTGAGCATTTTGAAATATCTGTTTACATGGCTGCCACTTCTCATCCACTGCCTTGCCCCTTTGTCTACTTACCCAGCCTGTTTTAGAAAATTCATTCTTCATACCTTTGTAATTGTCATTATTTGAGTTGAAGCCACTGATTTGAAACCCATGTTGCTGACCCTCAAACTGAATTTGAAATTTTACTATGATGTGATTGTAACCCCTTAGAGGATCTTTTAACTATGAGATCTCTTATTAATCCTAGCTCATTAGGATTGGGGAGGCGATGGCCTCATGGTATTATCACTGGACTGTTAATCCAGAGACCCAGATAATTTTCTGGGTACCTGGGTTCGAATCCCACCATGGTAGATGGTGGAATTTGAATTCAATAAATATCTGGAATTAAGAATCTAATGATGACCGTGAATCCATTGTCGATGGTCAGAAAAACCCATTTGGTTCACTAATGTTATTTAGGGGAGCAAACTGCCCTCCTTACGTGATCTGGCCTATATGTGACTTCAGACCACTGATGTGGTTGACTCTTAACTGTCCTCTCGGTAATTGGGGATGGGCAATAAATGCTGCCTAGCCAGTGGTGTCCTCCTCATGTGAATTATAAAGAGAAAAAACAAATTACACCTTACTAGATGTACAATAGCATGTTCCCAGGTAGGACCTGTAAAATAATGTTCTAAAGAAGCAAAAACCAAAAGAACTGTGGATGCTGTAAATCAGGAACAAAAATGGAAGTTGCTGGAAAAGCTCAGCAGGTCTGGCAGTATCTGTGAAGAAAAAAATCAGTGTTAACGTTTTGCGTCCGGTGACTCTTCCTCAGAACTGATGGTAGCTGGGAAAACATCAGTTTGCAGGACATTAGTTTATGCAGAAAATAGGGAGGGAGGATGGGATAGGGAGGGAGGGTGGGATAGGGAGTAAACGATAGGATACAGCCTAAAGAGAGAGAAGAGCCAGGTGAAACTACACTTCGTCTGTACTTCCCAGGATCTAGTCTACTGCATTCGCTGCTCACAATGTGGTCTCCTCCACATTGGGGAAACGAAACGTAGACTGGGTGACCGCTTTGCAGAACATCTATGTTCTGCTTGCAAAAAATACCCTGAGCTACCTGTTGCCTGCCACTTCAACACGCCACCCTGTTCCCTGGCCAACTTCTGTCTCCTGCCTGCTGCAGTGTTCCAGTGAAGCTCAACGCAAGCTGGAAGAATAACACCTCCCTTTCCACTTGGGGACCCTGCAGCCCTCCGGACTCCATATTGAGTTCAATAATTTTAGGGCCTAAGCTCTCCTATGTCCTAGCCTCCCACCTCACACACCAGTCCTTGTTATCTCATTGCCTGCCATTACACACTACCTATTGTTCGTCACTAATAGTCCCCATTAACAACTACTGACCGTCCTAGCCAGTACATGTCAACTTTGTCTGTACTGCCTTTCTCTCTCTTTAGGCTCTATCCTACTGTTTACTCCCCATTCCACCCCCTCCCTATTTTGTACATGTAAACTGACGTTTTCCCAGCTACCATCAGTTCTGAGGAAGGGTCACCAGACCCAAAACATTAACTCTGATTTTATTTTCTACACAGATGCTGCCAGTCCTGCTGAGCTTTTCCAGTAAATTCTGTTTTTGCTCTAAAGAAGCAATCCCTGTTGCAGTCCAGAAATTCATCTCCCTGCAGCCAAAGCAAACTGGCAGAAGTACATAAGGCTTGTCCCTGAGCTCCAGTGCAAAGTCCTGATGGGCTGATGTGGTGAGAGACTTGGTCTGAAGTGGGAAAAGGCTGAAATGGGATTGTATCCGTGAAGCATGCAGGAATATGGTGGTGATGGTGGCATGGGATGAAAGCTTGAGCTACTGCTGCCAGGTAACCATCTGACTTTCATATTGGGAATTGGTGAGGTCTAGTTTGTCAGGGAAGGTGGGAAAATTTGGGAGCTCCTTAAACATGAGACAACAACAGCCATTAATGAGATTCAAATAAATATTGAAATGCAAATAAGGCAGTTGCTACTTATTAGTGAACACTCAGAAATTGGCATTTAAAGAGAAAAAAGGGAATATTTTTCAACATCAGATACCTAATAGTTTCATCCTTACAGTACTTACCAAACTTTCTCCACATTGTCAATGTCATTCTCAAGGGACTGGAAAATTCCTCCTAGAAAATTTGAGGAACTTGTTGAGTCTAAGGAGACAACCAGTTCTTACAGAATAAGTGATTGATATTCGAGTAGCAACTCCGAATCAACAACAGGCACCCTTTAGCAAATAAACAAATGCCCCAAGATTGAAATGTCGTTCAAAAGAAAAAAAATGGTTCAGGTGAATAACCTTTCAAAGCCTATTGAAGTGAAAACTGAACTCTTCCCCTCTCCATAAATGCTGTCTGACCTGCTCTATATTTCAAGCAGTCCCTGCATTTATTTCAGCTTTCTGGTATCCACAATAATTTCATTGAACTGATTTTTACTTTTTTAAAATTAGAAACTTTTAATTTCAAAATAACCTGACAAGTATTCAGTATAAAAAAAGATTTGTACCATATTTTAATATGAATAGATTTCTTTGATACTCAATGTGCATTTCTGTGCATTACTCCCCTCTCTCCCCCATTTACCCAGAAGAGAACAGATCCACAATCATTTCAAATCTCTTTGATCACTAGAAGACTGACACAAATTGACTCACCAGCGATTTTACTCTCTTCCTTTATACAGCGTGTCAAGTCAGTTTTGTTCATCTTTGCTAATACAGTTGAGATTAGGAATATTATTTAGGGTTATCAAATGTCAAAATTGCACTTTATCAAGCTCCCGTGTTTTAGCACAAGCAACACATTGTGCTATAGGGTCTCCTATTTAAAAGAATCTATCTTCAAAAGAGTGCTGTCAAAATGGACAATTGAAAATAACAAGATATTTGTGATTTCTATATGGAAGATTCAGTCAAATTACCTGCATCATGTACAATACTGAAATCCAGGAGCCTTGTGAAATCCTAGCACACAAGGAATAAAGGAGACTGACTCATTACTCGGAAGCGGATATGGTTTGTCTAATCTGAAATCATTCTCTAACAGATCATAACTATTATATATGAACTTCATTATTTGCACAGTGGGGCTTTTTTTTAATTTCAGTTGATTCATAAGTAGAATATGCAGCAAATTATTAGGTGGTGACTGAAATCATACAACAGAGCTCTCTGAAAAATCACTATTTTATCAGTAGTATCTTCTGCATTATTTTAAAGTTGAACTTTAATTGCAGCTATCGGCAGTTTAAGGACAATCCAGTAATCCATGTGAGCAAATTCAACTAGTGATCAAGCACCATTTGTCAAATTCCCATGAGCCAAGATAAAATACTAGGTTCATTCTGTCACTTCAGCCTCAAATATCATTTATCAGAAATTTACAAATTATTTTTAAGTACCAAGGCTCAAAATAAATATAATCATTTAAAGATTTGAAAACCTTTTATTAATTACAATGCAGACACAAACAACCTGTACAATGTATTTACATTTAATTAAATATTGTAAAGGAAATCAATGTGCTCTCAACCTCAAAATAATGCAGCCTGTTTAAGTATGAATGTAAAATGATATGTGTAAAGGCAATTCACACACTCATTACCAGTTTCAGAGAACTGTTCTCTCACATTGATTTGCTGTGTCAGAATTCTGGTACTCCCTCTCTAATGGCACCATGGGTCTGCCTACACTAAATGGACTGCAGCGGTTCAAGAAGGCAGCTCATGACCATCTTCTTCGGGGCAACTGGAGATGGGTAACACAACCCTACGTCCTTTGAGTGAATTTTTAAAAAGGTAACAGGATGATTTAGGTGTCATTCTTAATGCATAAAGGATTTTAAGGTGAGTTAAATTTTGGAAATTGTAGCCAAGGTCTCTGAAATATTATGAAATCACAACAACAACTGAAATTCAAACTGAGACAAGGCCAACCTGAAGAAATCAAATGGTAATACAAGGAAACAAGCAGAGTTCAATAAGAAACAAAAAGGAAGATTTGAAGGATGCAAAGCGATATAAACCAGAACAACAGAGGATAGGAGACATTTTTGTTCTCATTCTAATAAAACTCTGGAAAGTTTACAGCAATATGAAGCAGAAAAGGGGATTGATCTTCTGTCACCAAACAAAAGTCAGAGCTGCATTTTATGCGGCTAAATCAAACAAAGTCCCAGATATGTATGTTAATTCCAGGCAAACAAGCAAATTTTGCTTGCTCTTCTTTATTTAAAGATCAATAACATCTACAGCAACAGATAGAGGAAAATCAGTTCTAAATACCAATAACCAAAAAGACATAAAGATAGAAAGAAACAGAAAGGTATAGTCTTAATTTTAATGAATTTTATATGTACAAATCAAAAGAAGAAAGCAGTCAATCATTTAATAAGTGATGATATAAAACGGTATAAACTATGAGGTTTTTAACTGGAAGATTTTACACTATTTTAAATATTAGTGTAGTTTTGATAAATTTTCTTAAACTAATAATTGCAGCAGGGTAAATAAAGAAAGAAAAAAAGAACTGCAGATGTTGGAAATCTGAAACAAAAACTCAAATTGCTGGAGAAACTCGGCAGGCCTGTCAGCATCTGTGGAAAGAAAGCAGAGTTAACATTTCAAGTCCAGGCTTTTTTTTAAATATAGTTGTGCCCAGTTCGATCACTCTTTTATACACTTCATTAAGGGTGGCTGCAGCTGGAAATTAAACAGCCAGGCACAAGCAAGCAAAGACACTCCCATACTTTTATGTGGTTAGATTGACTCAATCTTCTTCTGCAGCTGGGGACAGTTAATGGTTTGCTCCTATTTTAATCTGGCATCAACATTTTCCTCAATGTAAAAGGGCATGAAGAACCAATTGATAGGGGGTGGGAAGGGACATGTGGTTGACATTTGAGTGTTCTTTTGGATTTGAGTCCAGCCAGCTGAAAACATACCATTTAACATAATGTAACATGGCATTACTGAAAAGGAAAATGGATTGCAGGAACTGGCAGACAAACTGGTGACCATTGTTAGCAGCTGCTGTCTGCCCAAGATGACCACTGAGCAAACAAAAGATTAATATACATATTCATGGGAACAAATAATTGAACTGATCAGATTTTTCGGATTCAGGTACACAGAGCACAAAGTAAGCTCATTAGAAGCGTACCCCAGCAAAATATGGACAGAAAAAAGTCATATGCATTCTGGGAAATAATTGATGCTTGCTCAAAACAGTTATATGACCAGTAGATTTTGATGGAGTTGAGTATAGTCGGTCCAAAAGTGAACACCCAATTTTCTAAGTCTTTCTTGCTGCAAATGAACAATAAAAGCCATTGTCATTTGCAATGTACAAAGTAATAAATACTTTGTGACAAATAGTTGTTTGGTCGTACTGAACTTGAGTTTCCAGGTTTTGCAAGATGCTATCCACCATAAACAGGGTACGGTCATGAAGCCAAATTTGTGTTTTGACTATCACACGAATAAGTAATGTGGTATATGAATTTCAGTGCCGGTGTGATGTTAGGTATGTTGTTCATATATTCCAAAAACTAGCAATTGTATAAAACAATGTATACCTGCAGTTGAGTGCAACAAGCAAGTTACTGACTAAACCAAAGCAGTCCATGCTTGCAAAATTTGCAACACAAATGTTCACTGTTGGAAGAGATGTGGACAACGTGCTACATAATCCCAAATGTGTGAAGAATAACATTGACAAACCATTTTGTTAGCAGATTGGCTCACAATATGACACACTTGTGAATGCTGCAGGCCATGTATATTAATACATGGAACCTGTTCTTTGAAGGCATGAGGAACATGTATGCACTGTGCCTGTTTCAATACAACAAAATAGGTGACAGCCAATCTCTGGCTTATTTTTCAGGGCAATGCCTTAAACAATTATAGGGGAGGCAATGGCCTACTGGTATTATTGCTGGACTGTTAATCCAGAGACCCAGATAATGTTCTGGGGACCCGGGTTCGAATCCCACCACAGCAGATGGTGGAATTTGAATTCACTAAAAATATCTGGAATTAACAGTCTAATGGTGACCGTGAATCCATTGTCAATTGTTGGAAAAACCCATCTGGTTCACTAATGTCTTTTAGGGAAGGAAACTGCAATCCTTACCTGGTCTGGCCTACGTGTGACTCCAGACCCACAGCAATGTGGTTGACTCTTAACTGCCCTCTGGGCAATAAATGCTGCCTAGCCAGCGACGCCCTCATCCCGTGAATAAATGAAGGAAAAAAAACAATCATGGTCAACCTGCCTTGGTTAAAATGTAAACAAAGCTTGGCAGATAATAGTCAGTTATCATTAACTGGCACGTTATCCATGGCAATATCCCCAGCAATCACTTTTATAAAAAAAGATTTCTGCTCTATTTACTTAGGTAGTTCTTATGAATTGTCCTGACGAGTGCAAGATGAAACGTTTTTTAAAGAAGTGCCCTTTGTCAGCAATATTAATTGTGATATGTCACCAAAGAAGGTGAAAATAACTTGGGTAAGATGATCATGATAGAAAAATGCTAGGTTACAATGGGATGATATGTGTACCCAAACAGGAATGTCAATCAAACTGGCAATAGTACAACTGATAACAGAATGCTGCATAATTTTCTATAAGCATATGAAAGTGACACTCAGAAAAGTAAATTCCTTGACTCAATCTATAATCTTGTTAGCATTAGTATGTAAGAGCAAAACTTCTGTTATTTTTTAAAAAGTAACTTCTTCTGAGAAAATCGAGGGATATTGATTTTCACTTACATGTGAAGTTCTGACTTCATCACTGTGTTAGCTAATCCATTTCAGGACAGCATTTGAATTGCTTCAATTGGCCTAACAACCCCTAATTTAGATCGAGGAGGCTCTTTTCCCCAAAAAGTAGCTCTTACCTGGAAGCACAGGCCTAAAACCTCAACAGCAATTTTCAGAAGTAGTAAAAGTGGAAACAGATTGGAAAAAATGAGAAGGAGAAAAGTTATTTGGTTGGCACCCTGATCTCAATGTTTCACTTAACATGCCACTGTCCATGTGTTTGCTTTCAAACCCAATAAAGAATTATTAGACAATGAACTAGTTGAAAAGATGAGAAAATATAGCTGTACCAACCCGTGACATTATTAATGGATCCATCTGTGATAGAAAGGAAAAGTATATTTCGGTCAATAAAACAAAAGATATATTCAGGATTATTAACCTATTGAATATTATTACCCCTACGAGGAATCCATTATCTTTCAGAATATGAAGTTTGCCATTTGTAACTTAGATTGGTGTTTCATTTTAAAGGTCACTACACATTTTGTAGAATGGATAATGAGACAAAATGATACTGACACACAAATTTCCCTTTGCGCTATACTGACTGTAAATCAAGCAGCGAAACAGACTTACTCAGCCATGAAATATCTACAGTTTGAACACAGATTGAAAGCAACTTAGGGGAATTTATCTCACAGGGGAATTGCGAAGAGGAATAGGCAAACACATCCAAACCACATTTCCATTGAATGGGCAGTAGTCCCAACTGCTTTCAAATTATGTGGTAAAACCAAATAGTTGGCAGCTACTGTAAAAACAGATGGCTCAAAGGGTTTTAAAAAATGCAAATGTCTAGAATATGAAATAAAACAGGGAGTGCTAGAAACATAGAACATGTGGACCAATTTTTAAAAGAGAAAGATGGGATAATAAATTGCTCAGGCTCCCTTATATTGACGAAAGAATTTCACCATGGTGGCTGCCAGGTGAAAAAAAAGCTGTGCTGTGTGGCAAGAAGGAATGTGACAGAAAAAAATAGGAGCATATGTAGGCCATACTGTCATTGGTGTGGCAGCTCAAACTTAAAATATCTTTTAAAAAATTTAACACATTTTTGATTCCCACAATAGGACTTCAGGTTGAAATTACTTCTAGTTGTATTATTATACCCAATTGCTTAATATGCTCCAA